GTGACAATGATTTAATATTAATAAAAAAAAATCCAGAATTATTCATTTTCACCAAGTCAATTCTAAATTATGGACTTCTTGAGCAGTGACTATGAACTAGACACATCATTAATTTAGTAACAAGTTGTTGAGGAATTTAATAAGATTTGTTATAATGTCAGACAAATCAATTAATATTAAAGCGGTACATCACCAAACTCTAGATAAGAGTAACGTTTGAAACCACTAAAAAGATTCATTACACCAAATTTATTTAATTCACGAGTTTTATTTTAAATATATAATTATATTCCTACGATTAAATATTACACATTTAACGATATCTCGTACATGAAGAGAATATTGCGAAATAGTTAAATTTAAGTTATGTTCTGTTATTGGGAAAAGTCATACGGCATGTATTGATAAATAAGTTACTTTTTTCTTATTGTGATACAAAGTAGATTCCAAGAATGTACAATTAAATTTTTCAATATCATACTCGTGTTTGTGATTTTATAGCACGCAACTAACTTCTAGTGTACAATAATTAATTTTTTATATTTACGACAATGTTACATTAATTTAAGTATAACATGTTCAATTTTAGATCTTATAAAATAGTATAGTCCAATCTCGTGATATTTTTTGCGCTTCTTTTGTTGAGTTATTTATAAATTTGATTGTTAAAACACAAATATAAGAAGATTGCAAGCTCACAATAATGAAGGAAGTCACAGTCGAGCTTCTAATTCGATCTCTCCAAAATGACAGAAACTATAAAATAAGAAATTTAGGTAAAAGTTAAATCAATTTGATTAAATTGGCTTGGTTGGAAATTAAAAATAGGAAAAATCATATTTTGGGTTTGGCTAATTAGTTAGAAAATTTATTTTAAAAAATAAAATAATTCGACTTATTTAAAATTAAAAAATTAGGAAGATTTGATTATTCGATTCTTGATCTAGAATTGAAAGCCGAATCAAATGCATCGATTCTCGATTCAAATATACATTCAGACATTTAACTTATGAAGAACCGCTCAACTCGATTTAGTTTGGTTCGATTCTGACTCGATTCAAGAATTTTGTTCAATCCTATATTCCATTGCAATAATAATTTCGAAAATAAAACATAATTAGAAACCGTATCCAACCCCTTTCAGTATCGGGACCCACATCGTGCCTGTCAAAGACTAATAAAACCCTACTTATATATAGCGGATTGACTTGAAAGATATTTTAATACCCCCAACTAAACTATTAGTTTTCACTTTCCAAGTCTAACAACTGGCTTAGTTAATTGTGTACTTTAAGGTAAAATTACATAAGATCGGTCGTCAACATACAAACAAGGATGTCGAAACCGAACTAATTCGACTAGTTTGTCCAGAATAAAATCGAGAACTAATTTTATTTTAAATTAAAAATTGAAAACTATGAACAATATTAAAAAGATTCAAGAACCTATCATTAAGAGTTTGTTTGATTTTCATTAACTAGGGAAAAATGAGTTTAGAATAGTATTTTTAGGACTATATGTGGTTGAAAAGTAATTTTTTTTTTGGATATAATATAAAATATTTTATTGTTTAAACACGTGATTAAAAGAGAGCACGTTATAGCAAACCGTAAATAAATTAATGAATGTCAAATAGGTACACTAAGAATCGACATCATTTTCATCTGTAAATCGGCCACAAGCCAAATTTTATTTTTTCACACGAATTAAAAAAATAAATTTTGCCAAAAATTGTCTTAATCTACCCTTATTTATATTTGTACAATTCAAAAACATATAATAAGAGTATATTAGTAAGAGTTTTGTCAAGTAGTAAGAGTTTTGTAAGGTGTACAGCAATTTTGTATACTAATTTTGATAGTCCTCTCACATAGGTGGTGGGACCTGTAATTATTTTTAATTGAAGGTCCCACCACGCCCACGTGAGAGACTGTCCACAATGGTGTACCAAAGTATTGTGCAAATTGCAAAATTCTATTAGTAAGCGAATAAAACAAAACATTCTCAATAAAGAACAAGACTATATAATTGAGACAAAAAATAAGGAAAGTCAGCCTATATAAATTGGACAGAGAAAGTATTTCTTCGAAGAGTTAATTGTTTCAATGGTCATTGAACTTCGATCCACGTTTTTGATTTGTCACTGAAAATTAAAATATCGAGTTTTGACTGTTGAACTGAGGCCCATACATTTGATTGCTCTTGCATGGGCTTAGCTCACTTCCTGTAAAATTCTCTTTTTTTTATGTAATTTTTTTTAATACTTATTACATTGTGTAAAATTTTTTTGTCGGGTCAGTCCTTTGACCACATAACTTTCAACTTTTTTCATTTTTAGATTTGACTCTGATTTAACTTCCCATTTTATCTTTTTCTGAATCAATTAATTTTATTTATTTAACATTCAAACAAATAATTAGATTTCAATATCAATGTTTTTGAAGAAAAATTAATAGTTTCAATGGTCATTGAATTTATGTTCATGTCTTTGACTAATACCGAGCGATTATTATTTTCATTAACACCTGTAGAGAGGATCCAGAAGCTCGTTTCTTTTCATTTTCCGAAAAACCAAGAAATTATTTATTACAGTACAGCTAAAAGAAATCTGTATATAATAAAGAGAGAGGAGAATGAAAAGAGACTCGTTTCTTTTCATTTTCCGAAAAAGCAAGAAATTATTTATTACAGTACAGCTAAAAGAAATCTGTATAAAATAAAGAGAGAGGAGAATGAAAAGAGACCGGATGTTGACAAATTTTGATGTCACTGTTCGTTTGTTTGGAAGATTTCTTTTCTGGGATCTCTCTCTTTCTCTCTCTACAAACAATAATAGTAATAATTATATACTCTTGCACAAATTCTTTCTTCCTGTATTTCTCATTTCTCTCTCTAAAGGTACTTCATTTTTAGAGGGAGAGAGTGGCCCAGCTGATCGAAATCTGCAATCTTTGTTGGGTCTGACGAGGATCTGAGCTTCTTCAATGAAATTTCCAAGCCATTCACCTTTATTGTTTACTTATTTTCATTTGACGGTTTTTTAATCATTTCTCGTCTTTTTTCTTGGTTTATTTGGTGATATTGAGTGAAAAAAAAAAACTTAAATTTACATGATTATAAGCTCTTAATTACCGTGAGACTCACTACGATTCAATCCACGAGGGTTTGTTGAGAAGCTGTGATTCCAGGATGTGGGTCTGAGGTAATTATTATTTTTATTAACTTTCTTTGTTTTTAAGATTTATTGGATTTTGACCATGAATTGGGAAAAAAAAGAAATTTATTGTTTTTTTTTCAAGAATTTTTCTTATGATTAATTATCTGATAAATTGGATTATAACTGGCTTCAAAATGACTTATTTTGTGATTTCAGTTTATTAGTTCCATTGTCTACGACGATTGGAAATACATTTGCTTTATTAAATATAGTTGTTAATTTAATTGGGATGTTCTTCATTTTTTGTGAGGGGTTCTTCGATTTGATGAGTGACAATTTCTATAAAGAATCTGTTTTGCCGGAATTCAATCTTGTAAAGCAAAAAATAATCTAAATATTTTCCTTGTATTTATGCTGCTGGTGATTCGTTTTTCTGTAACATATGTTAAATTATTGCCACCTTTTCCGATTCTAATAGTATTAGTTGAACTGTGTGCATGTCTCGAATTCTTTTGTGCAAGCTAAATTTGTCCCGGTTTTTACAACCAGAATATTCGTTTACCATACTGCGACTGTATTAATTTTGATCTAGCTCTTCCTTTTTTTATTTTATTCAAAATTTCTTTATGGCAGTCACCAGATTTTCAATACACAACTTGGAAAATATTGTTTTCTTGGTTGTTCTCACGATGTACATGATAGTTGTTCTCGTAAAATGATTATTATATACTTGGTAAGCAATATATGGTTCTTAAATGCATCGGTTATTTGCCAAGAAACAATTAAGTAGCCAAATTTCGTATATAACTTATTATAGTTAATCTTGAATTCATGTTCAGGTGTCGGGTGCAGTTATGCTAGGTTTGTGAAATCGATACAGTAGCATAAATACATTTTGAAGAGTTGTATTGACATAGATCTCAATTGTCTGATAAGAAGAAACATCTCTGCCTCGTATTTTTCGGTGGAAAAGAAAGAAGATCATTCTTTTTATTATCACTAGTACAAGCGTTCATTCTATGTTCTTTTCTTAAAAAAATAAAAAAATAAAAAAATTTGGGAATCGGGCTTAATTTGTTATTTGTTATTTTCATAAAAATTATCTTCGATGTTTATGCTGAGTGATAAAACATAAGTTACCTTCAAATAACCTGTGTAATTGGAAAAGTGGAAGAAAATAAATACAGGAATGTGAAGAAAGAACAAACTATTTCACATTAATTTTGGCGTTTTAGAAATTATTTTTCTCACTTAAATTTCCTCTTCAGGAATGGCAATGAAAGTGCATCGCAAAAACTACTTGCCAGGGTATTCTTCCATGAGGGATCTTCACGAGGATTCTAACAGCAGTCGCTGGCCCCTATTTTATGGAGACGAGCCCTTAAAAATCGGGCAGTGTTACAATTTGTTTGTGCCGAGGACTGTAACGGACGGGTCTCTGGGGTATGATAAGAATACATTAAAGCAGAAAATGCTTGAACACGAAGCAATTTTTAAGAACCAGGTACTTGGTTAATTGTGCTAATATGTCTGTTGATCTAAAACACGCAGCTGGGTCACTTATGTTTTGCTAAACATGTTTGAAGTTTTAAAAAAGTTACTTTATTTTTGGATTTTCAGTACACAATCTTGCTCTTTTTAAGCTTCGCCAAGCATGCTCTATGCAGAGTCTATGCTTTCTGTCTGTAAAAATTCAGTAATGTAACATAAGCTTGATTAGTGGAATCTTTGCTGTCATCCAGGTTTATGAACTCCACCGCCTTTACAGAACTCAAAGGAACATGATGGAAGAAATAAAAAAGAATGAACTATGTAAACATTGGACAGTGATGGAACCATCATCGTCGTCGTCAACTCTACATGGATCTCAAATGCCATCAAACGATGCTCGAAAACAGCAAATGATGGGCTTTCCTTTGTTGCATTCTGGTCATGGCAGAACATCTGTCTCAGGAGTTGAAATTGTTAATTCTCCTTCGAGTTGTACTAATGGGAATAACAAGCACACTGGACACTACCCATTCCATCACCGATGTTCTTCAAAGGACTCTGAAGCACTGGATTCGAGACCCTCTAAGGTGAGGAAGAAGTTGTTTGATCTTCAACTTCCAGCCGATCAGTATGTTGATACTGAAGATGAGGAATGCATACAGGATGGAAAAGTACCTGACATTTTGAGCCATACACCTAATGGAGTTCAAAAAGTTGCCCCCGATAGTACTAAGTTTTTGGTTAGTGGAGATTCCTCAGCTTCAAGTTCCTGTTTGAGGAGATCTATTGGTCTAGCTGATCTAAACAAACCCATTCCCATTGAAGAAGTAATGGCTCCATCATCTATTGATTTTCTTGGTTGTACTTCAAATGTTGGAGAGACTAAAGGTGTAGATCTGTCGGCCAAACCAAGTGCAAGATTTGTACGTGTACTGGGAGAAACCATATATAGCCATAACAGATCTTTGATAAATTCGTCAGTCGGGAGTGAAGTCAAAGAGAGGGGATGGCTCAATCATGTACATGAAGCAGGTAAGTAGTGTTAATAACGTTGCATAAAATTCATCAGTTTATTTTATAATTAAATATTTTATCTCAGCATTGGGCTCATGTTAATTAAATTCTTAGCTTTTCTGTGTGATAAGAGTTTTCCCTCAAGTTTAAAAGCCCATTTTCATCAAAAAATGAGTAGATCAAATGTGTTGTGGTTATGAGTGTTGGGCCATTAAGGGACAAAATGTCCATAGAATCACTGAGAATGAGAATGCTAAGATGGATGTCTTGGTCATACTAAAATGAATAAGATAAGAAATGAGATTATATGCCAACAAGAGGAAGTAACGTTGATTGAGGTAAATTAATGGAAGACTGATTTAGTTGGTTAGGACATGTTTAGTGTAAGGAGGCTCTCATTCATGCAAGTGATACAATTTTGGCTTAACAGTCATAACAGGGAGGGCTAGATAGAAAATAACATGGCCTATGGTAGTTGCTAAACATCTAATTGCTTTTTAGATTTCGTACGTCAATGGAACAGAGTGGTGCAAAAGGATTGACGTGGCCAACTTCAAATTTATTGGAATAAGGCTTAGTTTGTTGTTATTGTTTGTGTAGAATATAAACTTTCATCTTGATTGGCAGCATATGCTTCAGAAATTGGTTTCAAAGGACCTATTACCAATCTCAACATTTCCAAAAAGCAGGTTTTGTGTTAGATAATTATGTAAACTCACCATACTTCAATCTGTTTGTAGACGCTACTGACTCTTTTAACTTTTTCTTTACGTCTGTTCCTTTTTATGGATTCTAATGGTATTTCGAACAACTCAATTCTTTTTACAGGATCCAGTAAAAGTAATCCGGCATCTTCACTTCCAGTTCTCCCAAAAGAGAAGCTGCATATACCTTCCCAGCCAGCAGATGTCATGCTTAATAAGGTTTGTCATCCTCCTGGAATATATCCAACTTGTCCCAGTAGGGAAGATTTGTGGAGAGAGAGAGGTCGTGATTCCTCCGAGAATAAACATTCAGAACCAGTTGTTGCATCTCGGACTCCTGGTCCGTACTCATGTTCTGGTTTTGCTGATTCATGGTCTCACTCCCACTCGTCTTCAGCAAAGCCCACAAGTTGCTTTATTCAAAGGATAACCTCGTTGCCAACATCTATCAATTTTGCTTCAACAAGCCAGGAAACCTTTGGAGACAATTGGAAAGTCGATGCTAGCTCTAGGTTGAACCCAAGCTTGGGAAGTGATGTAACATCCCAGAATGGATTTTACCATGGGCCTGTCTCGGGATCCAAAGAACCACAAGTTCACTTGCCATCAGATGCCATCGATTATTTTAACTGCAGCAAGGGTGATAATGTAGCATCTGACCATTCTACTAAACATGGATATGAGAGGTTTCTGAAGGGCTCGACTCATGTGGATAAGAAGCCTGCCGTAGATATTGACTTGAATGAGGTAGTTTTGAAGAGCTCATCAAATGAAACATCTTGTCTGCATGATCTCAATAAGATGGATGAAAAAAGTAAGCATGCTGACGTGTCAACATGGCCTTGGCTTAAACCGAAGCCCTCCTATAAAAATGAGGCTTTCGCAGGTGCTAGGTGTTCGGAACTTTCGGGAAGTTTGGCATACCTTCAAGCTTCTTCTATTCCCTCGTGTTGCAAGAGCGAAACGGTGAGAGATCTTAACCAAACATTTCCCCCAACTGTCATGTCAGCTTCAAGTGATTGTGAGGTTGTGACCGTACACGAGACTCAGAATGTTAAGAAAATTCTGGGGTTTCCCATTTTTGAAATTGCAAGTGTTCATAAAAACGAGCTATCATCCCATGTTTCCACCCCGGTTATTCACCATCCTGAAGGTAAAATTTCCAAAAATGAAAGAAGAGATGGAATAATTGATATTAATGTAGCTTGCGAGTCAGATGAGCAGATAGCAGCAGAACTCATTATAGAGAAGGAAATATATACAAAAGGTTCCTATACTGGAAATCTTATCGATTTGAACTCTTGTATCAATGACGATGAAGATCCACCAGCATCCTCTGTTCCAAGCAACAGTGCTATTACAAAGACATCAGTCGAAATAGATCTAGAAGCCCCAGCAATTCTGGAGAGTGAGGATGATAATGCACTGTCCAGAGAAAATATACAGGTTGAGGCATCCTCGCTATCTTCTGAACATAAAGCCAAACAAATACAGGATGAAATTGTAAGAAATGCTGCACAGACTATAATTGCTATCTCATCTTCGAGTCAGAAAATCCTAGTAAAGGATAACGTTTTCCTTCCACCTGACGCATCATTCGCAGAACCCCTGCTCTGGTTTGTTGATGTTATTTCATCACATGCAGATAAACTCAATAGCAAAGAATTGGGGAATGGTGCACCAATTCGGGATCTCTTTGAGGAGATAGATGATTTCGAGGCCATGACATTGCAACTGACAGAGATGAAAGAAGACTACATGCCTAAACCCTTTGTTCCAGAAGTCCAAAAGATGGAAGAAATAGTACCTGATACATTACCAAATAGATCTCGAAGGGGTCCGGCGAGGAGAGGAAGGCAGCGGAGGGACTTTCAAAGGGACATTCTTCCTGGTCTGACATCATTGTCCAGACATGAGGTGACCGAGGATCTTCAGACATTTGGAGGCCTGATGAGAGCTACCGGGCATCCTTGGAATTCTGGGTTGATGAGAAGGAATAGCACTAGAAACGGGGGTTTTCGGGGGAGGCAACGGACAGTGGTTGAAACAACTCCAACTATTCCCACCCCAGTTTGCAATTCATTGATGCAGCAACTAAATAACATTGAAGCTGGTTTGGAGGATAGAAGCATAACCGGGTGGGGGAAGACAACTAGACGTCCCCGTCGACAAAGATGCCCTGCAGGTAATCCTCCTACTGTTGCAATAACCCAATAATGGAAAAGGCGTTAAATTTATTGATTCAGAATTCACAGAGGAAAATTAGACGGTGATATTGGGGAATGAGATCGTGTTTCCTAGAGCTATTTGTCTTTGTAAATGTCATTGTAGCTCATAATTCGACACCATGATTCTGTCTGATTTCTTCTCGATACAACATTGCTTCAAAGATGTGCATTTGTATTCTTAGAGAGAGCTGAAACATGTGGAATGTTTTGTTAGAAGCAGGTTCGACTTAACCGGTGCCTTGCTTTACGGGTGCAGCTGTGCCGTGAGCGGCCCTGCCTTTTCAATATATATATATATATATATTCTTTTTTTGGGGGAGAAAACAAAAATGATTTAGAATAAAATCGCCATTCGGGGTTCTCGATCACTGTGGCCTCCTTTAGCAATGCAGAGAAAAGAGAAATGGTTGTCATGTACACGTCCTTTTCCTAATTTATGTGACTTTTAATTATAGATAATTATTCAAAATGTTTGTTTAATTTAACCAATAAAAGAAACTAAACAAAATACTGGATAAGGAACATTTATTACATTATTACATCTGCTCGATTAAATCCTGAATTATCCAGAGTTCGCCCGATACCTAAATCTAATATCTGAACCTCACTAAGAACAGAGTCGTTTTCTGGTTTTGAGCTCCTTGCCATTTTATCTAGCTTTTGAATTTTCATCCTCCCCTCTTCCCCGTAGTTTGATTAAGCTCATAAATTATATCAAATTATATAATTATGCAACTGGGTGATTGAGCAGAAGTTAAGTGTAATTTGCAGGTCTCTTAATATTAATTTGTTATTATGTGTGGAAGGTTTGTTATAGAAGTTACAAAATTGATCTCTTATCCTACTGGACAAAAAAATTCTCAATGATTGTTCTCGTTACATTAATAGTGAGAAGCTTTTATTCTGTTTATTGAGAACAGGAGATCAAAAAATTATTTAAAGATTGATTTAAAAGCGCAATTTTGATGTTAGTTTTATTGTTTTAAAGGAAAATGATAATTCGAAATAAGAAAAA